GAGCGTCCTCCTCCTGTCCCTGGCACTCACTACATGACTCTGCGTCCCTCCACTGCTCCGCAGCGTGTCCCGCTGCCGTCTCCTCCTGCGTCCTCTCTTCCTACTCTTCCTGACCCGGAGTCTGACTCCCGTCGTGCTGCCAGTCCCACTGTTACGCGTCTCCTCGCTACAGTTGTCACTGACCCGACCTTTGAGTCCTCTGCTGCGTCTGCTCTGGTCGCTGAGTTGGTTGACTTTGCTGCTCGCTGTCGCCTAGACTACGCTGCCAGCCTTGTCGCTAGGTCTGAGTCTGCGTCTGCCTGTCCTCCGTCCGTCGGGGGTGAGTGTGCCCTCGGCACGGACGTCCTTGAGGACAGACAGGAGGAGTTCCACTGCCTTGCTGCTGCTTTGCCCTGTCTCGTGTCCTTGCTAGTTGCCCCTGAGGGAGACCCGGATGCACCAGACATCTCGACCCCGCGCTCTTACGCTGAGGCGATGGCGGGTCCCTACTCCTCTCAGTGGCAGACAGCCATGGACGCAGAGATGGCCTCCTGGAAGTCCACAGGCACCTACGTAGACGAGGTTCCCCCTCCTGGGGCGAACATTGTCAGTGGCATGTGGATTTTCAGGGTGAAGCGGCCGCCGGGTTCTCCGCCTGTTTTCAAGGCGCGCTACGTGGCTCGAGGCTTCAGTCAGCGAGAGGGAGTAGACTTCTTTCAGACCTTCTCCCCCACCCCGAAGATGACTACTCTTCGGGTGCTGCTGCACATAGCCGCTCACCGCGACTACGAGCTTCACTCTCTTGACTTCAGCACTGCTTTCTTGCAGGGCAGCCTGCACGAGGAGATCTGGCTACGTCGCCCACCTGGCTTCACTGGGTCAGTTCCTCCTGGCACCCAGTGGAGGCTTCAGCGGCCGGTCTACGGTCTCCGCCAGGCGCCACGTGAGTGGCACGACACACTGAGGACGACACTTGCGGCTCTTGGGTTCGCTCCCTCTACTGCTGACCCGTCGCTGTTTCTACGCACCGACACCTCGCTGCCGCCGTTCTACATCCTCGTGTACGTCGACGACTTGGTCTTTGCCACTGCTGACACCGCGGCACTCGCTCACGTGAAGTCGGAGCTGCAGAGGAGACACACGTGCACAGACCTGGGTGACCTGACGAGCTATCTTGGCTTGCGGATCACCCGGGACAGAGCACGGCGCACCATCACCCTGACTCAGTCACACATGGTGCAGCAGGTTCTCCAGCGCTTCCGCTTCACGTACTCCTCGCCTCAGTCCACTCCTCTGCCTACCGGTCACTCGCTCTCAGCTCTGCCTTCGGATGAGTCCGTAGAGCCGAGTGGCCCGTATCCAGAGCTTGTGGGCTGCCTCATGTACCTGATGACCTGCACTCGACCTGACCTTGCATACCCTCTTAGCATCCTAGCACGCTATGTCGCTCCTGGCCGTCACCGGAAGGAGCACATGGATGCTGCTAAGAGGGTGTTGCGCTACTTGTGCAGTACGTCGGGCATGGGGCTTGTGCTTGGAGGGCGAGACCGGGTTGTTCTCACAGGGCACTCAGACGCTTCTTGGGCAGACGACCAGGCTACTCAGCGGTCGTCCCAGGGTTACACCTTCAGCCTTGGCTCTGGCACAGTTTCTTGGCGTTCTACTCGCTCTTCTTCTGTTCTCAGCTCCAGTTGTGAGGCTGAGATCTACGCCACAGCCATGGCCGCTCAGGAGCTACGCTGGCTGACCTACCTGCTGACCGACCTCGGAGAGCAGCCTCGTTCTCCTCCAGTGCTGTACGTCGACAACAAGGCTGCCATTGCCTTGTGTGAGGAGCACAGACTGGAGCACAGAACGAAGCACATCGCTCTGCGGTACTTCCTGGCTCGAGAGCTGCAGCAGCGTGGTCAGCTTTGTCTGCGTTACGTGGCCACGGAGGCCAACACTGCTGATGTGTTCACCAAGGCGCTTCAGCCTTGTGACCATCAGCGCTTTTGCACTCTGCTAGGCCTTGTACCTACTGGGCCTCACTTACTTACCTCTTGACCTTGCTTGTACTGTGATCACTATATATATATGCCTACTTGTTTACGTTTGCTAGGTTGTGATCACTGTATCTCTTGCTTTGTTATAAACCTGCATGTGAACTGGTCTTGTGACCGCTTGCTTGTGCTCGGAATTTGTGTGGAATCCTTGAGATCCACCCTGAGCTTGTTTTGCTTTGCTTTGACTGGTCTTGTGACCCTGTGGCTGTCTCCCACTGCGCCTATGGGGGTGTGTCAAACATTGCATGTTTATATTGTCTAGGCTGTAGTGGGTTACACCTTAGGGGGTACACAAAGTTAGGGTTTCCTACTTGTACCAAACTCTGTTCTAGTTCATTCATTCCTGCTCAGTTATTTCTGACAAACACTGCTGATGTGTTCACCAAGGCGCTTCAGCCTTGTGACCATCAGCGCTTTTGCACTCTGCTAGGCCTTGTACCTACTGGGCCTCACTTGCTTACCTCTTGACCTTGCTTGTACTGTGATCACTATATATATATGCCTACTTGTTTACTTTTGCTAGGTTGTGATCACTGTATCTCTTGCTTTGTTATAAACCTGCATGTGAACTGGTCTTGTGACCGCTTGCTTGTGCTCGGAATTTGTGTGGAATCCTTGAGATCCACCCTGAGCTTGCTTTGCTTTGCTTTGACTGGTCTTGTGACCCTGTGGTTGTCTCCCACTGCGCCTATGGGGGTGTGTCAAACATTGTATGTTTATATTGTGTAGGCTGTAGTGGGTTACACCTTAGGGGATACACAAAGTTAGGGTTTCCTACTTGTACCAAACTCTGTGCTAGTTCGTTTCATTCCTACTCAGTTATTTCTGACAGGAGCGCCACTGAGGACCAAGTCCCCTGATGATGACTGTCACGAAGGCGTCTTCGGATATTGTTCCTCCGCATCGAAGAAGCTTGTCGCGCAGCTCGCGACAGCGGCTGATATACGCCATCCCCTTTTCTCCCGGTTTCATTTCAACTGTTGTCAACTGCGCCATTAACCGGCTCTGATTAACGCTGTCTGTTGCTTGATACAGGCTCTTCAAGTGGCTGTATGCGAGCTCGGCGGAGTTGCCGTATCCCCGGTAAGACCGTATATTCTGCTGCTGAGTCGGTGTGATGTTCCTCAGTAGAATTGTGTACGCCATCATTGACTGATACGTATATTGCTGCTTGTCGTACTGTGTGCCATGTGTTGGGTATGGCCAGGACCCGTCGAAGAAGCCGAGAATCTGCGCGCCTTCCATCATCAATTCGAACTCGAATTACCAGGTGAAAAAGTCATTTCCGTCGAAGGGCCTTGACGTCTGCAGTTTTAAGACGTGCGCGAATTGCGACTGAACTTGAAGCGCGTCCAGCGTCTTTTCTTGTCCAGGTGAAGGCTGCGGGTCTGGCGTGAAGCTGATTGAGCCGCGCTGGGGCTCGGAGCAAAGGTAGGCTGCTGTTGTTGATTTTTGCGCGCGTATGATGAGCCGTCGAAACTCATGGGAGTTACATCGTTGTAGTTGTTGCTGTTGTTTGACTGCGCAGGTGCCGATTGCTGGTGTTGCTCGTAGAAGGACATGAAGGAGAAGAACTTCTCCATCATGCTCTGGTCGAAGCTGGCAGGTTGATTCGCCGGAGGTTCTGAAGGTGCTGCTGCTGGTCTCGTTGCCGTGCCCTCCTCTGTCTGTAGGCCAGAGGCAGGAGATAGAGTAGGAGTAGTGCCCGGAGAGCCGTTGGAGGCGCTTCTTTCCTTTTGTGTTGCCATGCCTTCTGATGTTGTAGGTGTCTTGATAGTAGTTGAATTCGCCCTGATAGCTCTCATACCATGTCGGGCTGAGAAAAGCCCTTAGGATCTTTGCAGGGCTGAACTCTGGATAGAAATAATGTAATAGCAGAAACGTTGTAATGAAGTGATTGAACCACCTTGCGCTAGTATGTGAGGGCAAAGTAGATTAATTAAAACAAAGAGATACAAGATTATATATATATGAGTACAAGGAATATGAAAGGTTGCAGCCACAACTGTTTTACTATTGCTGTTGCGGTTCGATACAGTGACGACTCGGGCAACTGCTTTGTAACGAGTTAGATGTGTGTCCTTGCTGTCGCGCTGTACTTGTCAGGTCAAAGGTCGCTGACCTTTGACTTTCGCGTAACCTCTAGCAACTGCTCAACCTCCGAGGGTTGACTCGTCGGTGCTTCGATATACTTCGTTTCGCTTGTGTCTTGGTGTTTCGACATGACAGAGGCGCTTAAGTTAATTGTTTCCAACAATTTGGTCCGTGTACCGTATTCCCCCGGACATACCACCCGCCGAAATAGAGCACCCCCCGGGTGGCTTGTGCGGGGGGGGTGCTATAGCGGGCCTCGTTTCTACTATACCCCCCTTTTGGGGTGATCCGGTATAGCACCCGGGGGGGGGGGTGTTATGTACGGGTAATATTGCAGTTTTTGCCTAAATAGCACTGGGTTTCCAATGATTAACCATCTACATGTTAACATCAGCACAAACAAGCTACATCTGACTGCATGAATCGAGCGACGAGGGGGTGTGTTTTCGACCAATCAGGGCCTGATAGTGGGCCTTGTTGGAGCTTGCAATGTGGCAGCTAACCCTCGAGACTAACGTTATCGCCCAGTCCTCGGTTTTGCGCACCCAACCAACAATCTACCACCACATGAAACATGTACTTTTTGTTCTCGACCTTTTGTGCTATAGAAAACAATATACATTATGTATAGACCCGGGTGCAATGTAGCTTTTTCCGATGACAAGACCCCCCCCCCCTTTCTTTTGTGTAGTTATCATAGCACCCTAGGGTGGTATATCCGGGGGAATACGGTATTTGTATATACGTATTTGTCATTACATAAGCGCATGCACCTATAAAATTGACTCAAATAGAAGCACACCCCCCTTGAAAAGCACTGTTTTATAATAAGTGCACCTGTGCTTACATCCGGGGTGACATGGTACGATATCTTCGTTCGTACTAATCCTTCCACGAGAATTGATCCTTGGGTGTGCGTTTGACTGGCGGTGGTGCAGCCGTGCCATTGCGAGGCATGAGCCCCGCATGGTACCCAAAGCGTGGCCACGGTTCCTTCTTGTCCTCAAACCCATACCGCTGCCCCCCCACGATGTAAGGCCACCCAGACCCCTCCTGTGCCACCCGCACCAGGCGCTGGGGGTCAGGCTGGGGGAGGGTCCAGGCATTGGCGGGGTACTGGAAGGTCTTCTCGGCCTCCGCGTGCATGTGCCACACCCACACATCCGTGGCATCCCGTGCTATGGGCTGCAGGTATGCGGGCGACGGCAGCAGGCGCGACAGGAACGTGGTCTCCAGGTAGCTGGGGGCGCACGGAGGAAGGTTGATTCGGGAGGGGGGACGATGTGGGCAGCGGGTTGTGGTTGTGCATGGCAGCGTGGTAAGCAGAACATGAGGAATGCGCTTCGCACACGCAGGAAGATGTGGTTAGGAATGCGTGCAGGAATGGTGTGAGGAGCCTGAGAGGAAGAGATTGTGAGAGGAGCACTGACCCGCCCCAGATGGCCTGGAAGCGAACAGGGTGGCGGGGGTAGCCCGGGATGGAGGTGAGGCGCGTCCACAGCAGGCGAGAGCTGCAAGAAGAAGAGGCAGATCGCATCAGAGCAGGGATTGGGAGCGCAGAGCGCGGAGAAGGTTATGAAAAGAAGTTGAGCAGAATGTGCGTTTGACACAGATGCTCGATACAGAAAGGCATGTTGTATCATCCCTTACCCTTCTCCCCAATTTTCCCTGCCTCCATACCCCCCTGCCCTGGCCCCCCCCAATGCACTCTCCACATCACCCACGCCCCTGCCCCCCCTCCATCGCTTCCTCTCGCACCCTTGCTCTGGCCATTCCACCACCACCCAGCGCGCACCTGAAGGCGAAGCCAGCCATGTCGGAGCAGAAGGAGCGGTAGGCGCCGCCGCGCTTGCCCTTGGGGATGGACCACTCAAACGTCTCCCACCCCACCACGCGCGCCACGCCGTCACTGCCGCGCTGCACGAGGGGGCGCTCCACAAAGGGGCGCGAGGGCTTGCCGGGGTTGAATGCCGCGTAGTCCGCCGAGAAGAGGAAGCCCACTGGGAACGCGCCCACCACCCTGATGGCGCGCAGCTCCTCAAACAGCTGGCGCCGCGCAGATGGTGGCGGGGCGAAGCGATGGATGCGGGACAGGAGATGGCGATGAGTACATTGTGGTTTCGGTAAGCCTGTCCGGATGAGCTGCGCCACCACCAGATGGCCACATGCACATGAAGTGCAGGCGCGGAGTGGCGGGAAGAAACAAAGGGACGGAGAGAGGGAGGGAGGGAGAAGGGGAGGGAGGGAGGGAGGGCGGGAGGGAGGGGGGGAGGGAGGGCGGGAGGGAGGGCGGGAGGGAGGGGGGAGGGAGGGGGGGAGGGAGGGGGGAGGGAGGGGGGAGGAGGGGGGGAGGGAGGGAGGGAGGGAGGGGGGAGAGGGAGCAAGGGAGGGAGGGAGGGAGGGGGAGGGAGGGAGGGAGGGAGGGAGGGAGGGAGGGAGGGAGGGAGGGAGGGAGGGAGGGAGGGAGGGAGGGAGGGAGGGAGGGAGGGAGGGAGGGAGGGAGGGAGGGAGGGAGGGAGGGAGGGAGGGAGGGCGGCAGTAGCGGAGGCAGCGGGGGGGGGTACCTGAGGGGCGTAGACGTTGTCGTCATCAGCAAAGTAGACGACCCCGTCCATGCGGTGCTGCTCTATGTGCTGCAACGCTGCATTGCGCTGCGCCACCGCCTTGTTCCACTTCGCCATCTCCCTCTGCTCACGGTACGCATGGCTCGCACACACACACGCCCGCCCACCCTCATGCACGCGCGCACGCACACACGCACGCACGCACACACGCACGCACGCACACACGCACGCACGCACGCACACACGCACGCACGCACGCACACACACACACACACACGCTCGCGCACTCAGACACGCACATATCACACATGCACACACAAACACGCGCGTGTTCACATCCCCTCCTCCCTCCCCCCCACACTGCCACACACACCCAACACACACGGGGATGGCAGAGATATGTGGCAAGGGCGATCATTCTCCTACAACTTCTCCCATAACTTCCCCGGCCCTTAATACTCTCCTACAACCCACCACAAGCATGCCCCCTTGTGAGCGCACGCACCGTGCCAGCAGCGAGGTGCAGGAAGTTGAGGGTGCGGCACGCGGGGTCACCGTGCGGCAGGCACTGCGCTGCCGTCTGCTCCAACGCCCGCGCCGTCTCGTCCGTCTGTGCCACACACCATGGCAGAGTGGGCAGAGTAGGAAGGAGGTGTTGCGCAGGTTACTTTCATGCAACACACCCACTTACACACACATACCTACAGAAACACACAACAAACACGCACATACACAGACTCAAACCACACACACAAACACACATGCCCACATGCACACAGACACAGACATGCACGCACGCACGCACGCACGCACGCACGCACGCACGCACGCACGCACGCACGCACGCACGCACGCACACACACACACACACACACGCACACGCACACAACCAACACACAAGCACACGTGCACGCACCTTATTGGCGCCCTCCACCACGATCCACAGCAGCGGGGGGGCCACGGCGCGCAGGGTGTTGGCGAGGTGAGCGAGGTAGAGCGCCTGGTACGCACGCGGGTACGTGGGCGTCACCACCATCACCAGCCGCTTCCCCACCATCTCCCCCTCCGCCCCTCGCTCCCCCGCTCCATACACCGCCGCTGCCGCCGCCGCTACTGCTGCTGCATCGCCAGGTCCTGATTCTGCAGGTGCAGTCATGGCAGCAGGTGTTCCCGCTGATCCGCCCACACTGCTGCCACCGCTCTCCCCTGCGCTGGTGGCGGCAAGTAGTGTGGGAGTGAGCGGCGTGGTAGCAGGCGCACGAGCAGGAGAGAGGAGTGCAGTAGCGACAGCAGGTGCAGCAGTGCCGCTGGTGGGCGCGGAGGAGGCGGAGGCGGAGAGGGGAGAGTGGTGAGGGAAGGGCGTGGGCGTGTCAGTGGTGGTGGCGCTGCTGGTTGCCCCGCGTGCTGCAGTGAGGGATGGCGGATACACCGCGGGGAGAGGGAGAGGGAAGCATATGCGTGGTGAGGGCGGACCACGCAGACAGCGAGAGTGGCACGAGTGACGTGAGGCATGGGGGAAGTGAGGGCATGCTGGGATAATAGATTTGGAGAGGCAGCGAGGGGTGAAGCGTGGCAACCGGAATCACTGCTACCTGCAGGGAGTGACGGCATGGTGAGTGCATGGAGAGTGCATGGGGGTGCAGGGCACGTGCGGGATCAGCATGGGGCGGAGCTCTGTGCATGCGCTCTCCTCGCTCACCGTGTCCTGCTGTCACGTCCCATGCGCCTTGTGCTGTCCAAGGTAGGTTCAGCAGCCGCCGTCGCTGCCCTTGCCGTCGCTTTCCATGCCCCCCCTGCTGCTCGATTGGCCATGACTGGCGCGGCACGTGTCCTCGCATGCGGCGCGCCGCACTGCCACCGCTGCTCCCACTGCTCTCGCTGCGCGCAGGTCTCTTCCAGGTCCCCTGCCCCCCATCGCCTGCTCTCAACACCGCACCGCCACTCCTCGCTCCCCGAATCACCCACCCACGCCCACCACCAGATTCCACTCCCTGCCACCGCCCCTGTACTGTGTCTTCTATTCCATCTGCCCGCCGTAACTGCTCTAACCGCCCTGACGGCTCGATCGCTTCCGGGTGACCCGCCTGGGTAGACTGCGCCGCGTCACTGGACTGCGCTGACGTCACTTGCGACCCCGCTTCTCGCTGCGTGGTGCTGGCCGTGGGGTGTATGGCGTGCGACCGTACGTGCAGCGATAGCAGTTGCAGCAGCAGGAGCAGCAGCAGCAGAACTGAACGCGCGGTGATACAAGGCTGACCGGATAGTCGCACGCCCATGCTGCTTCCTCCTACTTACGCCGTCCAGCTAGGCAGCTGCGCGACACGGTGAGGCTGGTCGCGCGGCGAGGAGGAGCGAGGTGGCCAGCGCGGGAGGGCGCGCGGCTGCTGGGCTCAGCCGCCCGTTGAGCGCGCCGCGATTCACCTCGTCATGGGCGGCGTCGTCCCCGGCAGTGCTCGATCGGACACATCACATGCCACAGACGCCTAGGGAACACGTCGTTTAAGGAGACGCTGGGGCCGTTGTGCTAAGCGCGCGCAATCGAGGAGCAACCAAAGGTCCTCGGATCCTTGCGGGTGGCGCTGCTCACCAACCGGGAGAAAGCATCGGAATCTCATGTGAAGGGACGACCCGCTGTGGGTTTCCTCACCACTCTGGCGGCCCCCAACCAACTTTCAGCAGGCTCAGTTCCCCGTTTTTGTGTCATGCTTTTCTCGCTTCTGTACAGGTACAAGGGAGAATATGTTGGTAAAGGTCTAGTGTCTATGAAACCATATGTTGGTAAAGACTGACAGAACATACGGTAGACTTGATTTCCATTAATCAGATTGACTGAGTGGGTCTTTGTAAGTAAATATGAACCCATAGTGTGTCTGATTATGATTTAGGCAAAGGTTGCTTAATAATTGAGTCTGCTCATAGCAGGGACAACCTCTAGGGATTCCCCCTCCATAAATATGGCCTGTTACCGTACCTGTATTGACAGCTATACTGACCTTCAACCTGACCAACTAGCAAGAATATTCACAGAGAAGCACCTGAGTTACTAGCGTTTCTGGAATTCCGTATACACATACAGTACCTTTGGGGTATAACATATGGAGTAATCTCATTCTCCTTCTCCTTGCCTGTTCTCCCCTTCCACCTTTCCCTTTCTTGCTCTTCATGTCGACCCTCATCCATCCTTAATTGCTGCCCGCCCTCCCCAACACCCCAACGTGCAACCTCCAACGCCGTCACATTCCCCACTCGCTGCCTCCCCTCTATCCTCCCATCCTCCCCATCCTTGCTCGCCTCTTCCCCCGCCTCCACCTTGTGCTCGGCCTCTCTGCCCGCCCTCACCAGTGCCTGCACCGATGCACGGAAGGACGCCCAGCTGCAGGGCACGGGGATTTGAAAGGCGGGTGTCAGAGGCAAGTGGCGCTGGAAGCAGCGACACAACTCGCACCACAGCATGCTGGCGGCAGCAGTACAACGAGCAACTCCACCCACAATTCCCAACCATGGCTCGCGCCCCATACCCACACCCCCACTCTCCTGTCCCTATTCTTGCCCTCCCGCATTCCCCTCCCACGTCCCCCACGGCACCTGAGGTGTGTGTGGATGAAGAGGTGGGCGAGGCGGCGCTTGTCGGGTTTGAGCACGCCCGCATGGCCGCCGTGCAGGTAGCGGCGCTGCCCCGTGAGCACGTGCCCGAAGTTGGACCCGTGTGACAGCACCACCAGCGGTGCGTGCAGCGCTATCAGGTAGTCGATGGCCGCCAGCTGCGATGCATGGCCCTGCTGCCAGCACCACGCAAGGGGGGGTTAGCAGGTGGGGTGGGAATGCGAAGCGGGAGAATGGTCATGATAAAGGAAAAAACCTCGCAGCTGTTGAATTGGATGGCGCGGGGTGCGACCGGTAGTGTTGCAAACGAGAAGGGGGTTGAGTAGGAGACGGGGTGCAGGAGAGAGGGAATGGACGCGTGGAGGTTCGTGGGATGGCACAGGCACAAAACACTGGAACATTGAGGAGTGAACTCAGGCATAGCAGCATGGCATGCAACTCGTGTTCAAGTCTGTGCTAGAAACGTCCTTGTTTCTGAAGGTCGAAATGCCTTGACGAGCGGGCATGACATCCATTCAACTTGGGTTGAGCTTCCACTCCCACATGGACTCCTCATGCCTCCAGCGCTTGGAAGGATGAAGGCTAGACGCTTCCAAAGGAGCCCCACAGCCACGGGCCGCACACATCAGGTGCGAGGGAGTTGGCCACCCACACTGATGCCACGCCACCCACACCCTCTGACAATCACGCACACACACACACACTCCCACCCACACACACACACACAAACACACACACACACACACCCACTCTAACACACACACACAAACACACACACACACACACCCACTCTAACACACACACACAAACACACACACACACGCACGCACGCACGCACGCACGCACGCACGCACGCACGCACGCACGCATGCACGCACGCACGCACGCGCGCGCGCGCACACACACACACATGCTTGAGGAAAAGAGACCTGGAAGGGGCGCAGGTGGGCGGGCGAGAGCAGGTGCGCCTTGGTGAGGGTGCGCGGGAAGAGTGCTGTGAAGGCCGCCCTGAGGCGGTGCGGGCCGTACAGCTCGCCAGACGCCACGAACACAGGCATGGCGGGTGATATGCCCGCCGCCCTCATGAACAGCGCCACCTATGGGCCATAGCGAGAGAAAGGCACGGGTGCATGGCGAGGAAAGAAAGATGGAGTGTGAGCATGGTTTGACACCATCCCCTTGGCATGTGAGGAGGTATTGGGGATATGAAGCACAGCATGGATATGGCAATCACATGCACCCCTAGCGCCATGGCAGCACATGACAGCACCTCCAGTGGTGTGAGAGGGCAGTGCCCCGCCTCTCTCAATGAACTCGCTGTCTCGCCCCCACCCTCCGCCCCCTCTCCACTGCCACTGCTGCCCTTCTTCTTGCTTCCCTGTACGGCCCCTACTTTACTGCCCTGCCGTGCTGCTGCCCGTTCCCCCCATCCCAGCGCAGCCTTGAGCCACTGCCACGCGGCGGCGGTGGGGCTGAGGTGGAAGCGCGACCAAGCGAAGGCACGGTAGCGCTGCAGGTCGCGGTGCAGGGCGGGCGAGGAGGAGAAGGAGCAGCGCGAGAACGCCATCATGTCCTTCTCAAACCGCACGTGCACCGCCACAAACAACGCCTGCCCCCGCCGCCGCGCTGGGGGGGTAATCCATGGCAGCAAGGGGGCAGGCGGCGAGAGTGCAGGTGCGGGCAGGAGAGCGGCAGGCAGTGCGCTGACAGGCGGCCCAGTGGAGGAGCCAGCAGAGCGAGCGGCAGTGGCGGCGTGGGCGGAGAGGTGGTGGAGGGCGGTGAGGGCAGCAGTGCGGATGGGCGCTTGGAAGCGCAGCGAGTGGAAGTTGCAGCGACAGCGCAGGCGCTGCAGCGCGAGGGGCAGACCCCGCGAGGACAGGCGGTTGGCAAATGGGTTCAGCCGCACTGCTCTGATGGGGGGGGGGGGGAGGGGTGAAGGACGGGGAGAGAAGGGCCAATTGAGGAGGAGATGTTGGAATTAGGGAAAGGTGAATGGAGCGGGAAATATGATACATGGCATGACGTTCGTTCCGACGCCACAACATGCCCTGCCCCACCCTTCGTGCCCCATGACATGCTACTGGGCGCGCATGCTCACCCTATGTCCCTCAGCGCTGGTCCCACTTGCGTGACATAGTAGTGCGCACTGGCCCACTGGGGCGGGGAGATCTTGGGCGGCAGCAGCACGTAGGGCGGCAGCAGTGGTCGCCGCCCCGTGGCTAGCCCAGCCGCCACGTGCAGTGCCAGGCGCGTGACGCGGCGCAGACGCACGGCGAGGGGCGGCGCAGGGAAGTAGTTGGGCGGCACGTGGAAGGAGTTGGGGGGCAGGGCGGGGACGACCGGGAGGAAATGGGCGAGGTGGGCGATGAAGAATGGCGCATCAAAGATGTCGGCAAAGGTGCTGCAGGGGGAAGGGGAGGAGGGGTTGCAGGGATGGCGAGTGGGACAGTACGGGTTGAGAAGGGAAAGGTTGGACAAAGACGAGAAAGGGCGGATGTGAACGATGACAAAGATGGGAACAAGCGGGTGCCTGAAAACAATGCAAGTCGGCAAGGCACGGTTTGTGCAAGAGAAGGCAGTAAAAGGGGGCTGGGGGAAGGCCAGGAGGAGGGATACATGCAGATGTATGGTGGGAGCAAGGGAAGGTTGGGGCGTGTGTGTGGCACCTGGAGTCGTTCCAGACTCTGTTGAGCAGCAGCGTGGGCAGCACCAGCGTGGCGTTCAGCAGTGCCGCCACCGCCACCGCGTTGCACACCTGATGGCGTTGGGGGTTGAGAAAGAGTGGGGCAGAGAGCCTTGTCTAAGTACTTCATCACCTGATCTCTTACTCAGCTCCACACCTCGGGTGGCAGTTGAGAGGACGCAAGGGCAAGCATCACGTCAGTGAACCATGGAGATGATTACATCTAGCATGAGAGGAAAAGCATGTGATGCAGGAAATATTGTGTAGAGCAACACTCTGCGTTGATAAGGGTGCCATGCCGATACAACAACAATCAGAGCCATCCACGGATGCAGTGTTGACGCGCACCCTAACCTGCATTGTAGGTGTGCCACAGTCAACCAGCACGCACATGTTGGTGAGCGTTCCACCACACACACACGCGCACATGTAGGTCAGCCTCCCCACACATGCGCACACACCTCGACCTGACACCACGTGTGTCTATCTACACACACGTGTGGCACATGCACAGCACCACCTCAGTGTGCACATGCATGACCTTTGGCACCTCCAAGTTGCCACAGTAGAGCCACCTGGCAGCACGCCCATCCCAGGCCATGGCGACTCACAGCGTCCCCTCCGCAAGTATATGCTCCATGGTTGAACACACTGCATCGCTGGCGGTGCCAGTGACAGTGGTGCGCGGGGAGGAGGACGCAGCCACACCGACAGCGAGGCAGCACAGCTGGAGGGGTGGCAGGGGGCTGGGAGAAGCTAACACTGCATCAACCGAACAAAAACATTTCCCCCAGCAGTGCTTGTGAAGCGGGCAGCCATGGGGAAGCACAGCAGGAGAGGGGCCTGATGCAAGGGCAGTGGAGGTGAGCGAGCGACACATGGTGTGCTGCCAGGCTAACTCGCGCAGTGCGGGTGGTGGTGCTGAGGGTGTGCGTGGCAGCTCCAGCATGCGATTCACACGCCCTGCGCACCTCCGAGTGTGCCCTCCGCATGGCCACGCACCTCCGTGTGTGCCCTGTGGCTCAGCATGGTGAGAGTGGCCGTTGTGCAATGATGTCGACGTGCACTAATGCGCCAACAGGACCGCGGGCACTGGGACACGTTGGGGAGAGCAGGTGGGGAGCGGGTGACACGAGTGGCAGTGGACCATGCTCTCCACCTGCTCAACTTCTCGTGACCGACTGGAGTATTGCCTTCACCATGGACAAGGCGCCATAACGTGTCATTGCGAATTTCCACATCTCCTTGCAAGTGCCCCAGTGCGGGAGCAGGGGGCTTTCAGAATGCGGTGCATACCTTAGTCAGAACAGCGGTCTCCCTCGCACGCTGCTCCAGCAGCACATTGCTCACTCCCTTGCTGCTTTCCTCGCCCGCTACGTACACCTCCTTGAGAATCTTGCTCCAACTCCCATGCAGAACCTTACCCACCCGCACCCCAGCCAACAAGAGGTGATGCGATGAAGAAGAGGGCAAGAGTGTGGGCAGCAGGACATCATTCCACCACAGGCACGAGCAAGCCAATGTGCATGTGCTGGGGGCCACGCTCACGCTCACACTCCCCGGCAGGGAAGGCAAGAGAGCTAGGAGGCGTTGCAAATGCTGGGGCGGGGCCGAGAATCCAGTGCAGGGGGGAGGTGCCCAGCACTTGCCGCAGCACGCCCGTGTCCCCCTCATCCCCGTGTCCCTGCTTCACCAACGCCCCCCACGCATGTGTCATGCGCCGCAGCACCCGGCCTACAGGCGCTGCTCACAGTGACAGCAGCACCATCGTGCCACCCCACTGAAGCTGCTGCCCTCGTGCACACGGGCAGAGTTGGACCACTGGCAGCGGTCACACGTGGCGTGAAGGGCAGACAAGACAAGAGCGGGCACGGAGGTGAAGATGCAGGGCCATGCGCAAAGAGTCGTGAGGGAGATCCGCTTGCCCGCTGTGCATGAGATGACACGGCAGCACTGGCTGTGTGGGCGTGACGGCCATTGCGATTGCTCCGTTATCGCCTGCGCTGGTGGTCGCCCACACTCCATGGATCACCACTGCTGTCCAATGCAGTGCGAGTCACCCCACAAATGCCACACTGCACTGATCTCCACAGCACCACATGCCACGGCCTTACGGGGTGTGAAAGGCAAGGCTCGCGGAACTCTAAACGCCACGCAACCATGGCACGGCGCTTGGTGTGAGTGCGAGGTGCACAAGAATGGGGAGCCGAAATGGATGAGACGAGTGCATGAAGAGAGCACGTGGTGTGGTCCCCACGCGCCTGTTCAGCTGTTACCCAGCCTGTCCACCAGCTTCATTCCCCCACGTCTCATTGCTCCCGCCATGCGCAACGACCAAGGACGCGCCCACTTGCAGCTGGGTAGCAGCAAAGGGGGAACTGAGCAAGTTGACAGGGTAGTGACAGGAGAAGGGGCGCGTCGTACCGTCCATGTGGTGTGTGGGTGCAGTGCAGAGCGCATGGTGGCACGTGGTGGTGCGGGTGGGCAGAGGGAATGCGCTTAACCCAGTGCACGGGGTGCGCTTCCCACCCACCTGCGCCGCTCATCACAACCCACTCATGCCCTTGGGCTGGCGTCACCCTTGCATGCACCGCCATGGCATTGCACGCTCAGGAGCAGGCAACCACTGTGGCAGCGCTGGGTGGGCTGTGAGGGCTTGCTGTGGCACGGCGTGTGACGCTATGACAGCACCTTTCAGCCCAGACGGCCTGAGCCGAGCAAGCACATGACGCCCTGCCAGCTGCCCATGACACAGGGCGCTCACTCCCCTTTCCCATGAGGACCAGCACCTGGTGTGGCCATGGGGTCACGGAGCACACGGCCTGCCCCGCCTTACAGTGCGCCACACCAACCAAACTCCTCTCCTCTTATCACTGGCCCCCACCCCCCTTTGCCTTTTGGCCCCCCCAAGCACCCGTTGTGCCGTGAGAGCACACAACAGGCCGTGCTGTACGCAGTGTGCAGCATGAAGGAAGCAGGCAGTTGCACGAGAGCACCCAGTGCTCTCCCATGCAGCGCCACTGCAAGGCTGATGCGGGGCCGTAGAAGCATCATGCATGGCCCGGCCCACCCATGCCACTGCTTGCCTCCCATGCCTCACTGCCCTCGCTGCACTGCTGCGTCCACCCAACCCACTTGCTCTGTGTGGCAGCGGTGCTGATGCGCGCAAGAGGCCATCGCGAGCAGGTATAGCGGCACGGAGGCACTCGCCCCTAAGGTGCTCTGCTCTGCCATGCTGCACCCATCCCGTGCCACGCCATGCCCACGCCCACGCCACGCCCAGCAGCAAAGCACCCCAAGAGGGTACAACAATCGTGTCGCCCACCCGTCGTCAAGCTTGTGCTGAACCTGCTGCTCTTCATGCCGCACGCACTCAAGCGCCCACCACAGCAAGGTCACTGTGAAGCCACGCCCAGCATGGCAGTGCGCAGAGCGGCACGGTGGATGCCAGGCTGGGCGCCTCTGTGTTGCACATGTGTCACTGCTCCCTCAACACGTCTGTGCTCCACCCACCATCGCCGCACACACGCACCGCTTCTTGCTTCCCCTCCTGATTACTTTTCAGCACATGGACAGATTGAGCAAGGAAGGAAGCACCTCACCGCTGTGCGTTGTTGGTTCAGTCCCCCATTCACTTCCACCATCAGGTATCGCACCCCACCGCTCCCAGCCGCACCGTCCGCCGTGTTGGCAGGTGTCAGTTGCTTGGGCATGGCGTGGCGTGCCCTCTCGTCCGCCATCATGCCTGCCGCACTGCGCATACTCGCTGCATCCCCCACGCCCCCACACCGCTCCCACTCCCCCCGCTGCTGCTGCTGCTGCTGTTGCTGCTGCTGCTGCTGTTGCTGCGGCTGGTGACAGTGAACATGGAGGGGAGGAGAAAACGGGGAGCAAGGGTTATTGGGGGACTAAAGGCATAACGGAAGCGGGAAGGGCGCAGGACAGAGGAGAGCAATGCAGAGCGCAGTCGAGAGCTCAAAAGCATCACCACTAACCCCTCCCTCCTCTGCCACGCACCTCGTCCTTGCTCCTCCTGACTTCTGCGTCCTTTTTTCCTCCCCCATCCCCTTCCTTTCTCCTATCCCCCTCTCTCCCCGCTACGTCCCCTGCGCCAGCGCCCATCAGGTCCCCGCGCCACTGCTGGTACAGCCGCCATGCCCCGTCCTCCTCCAGGCCCTCCGCCTCCTCTCCCCCCCTTCCAGCTCCTCCGCACGCCTTCCGCGGAAATTTCGCGGGAGAAAATCGCGCGGTAGAACGCTGCGGGGAAAGGAAGTTCGCGGAAGGGGGTTTGCTGAAAGCGCGTGGCGGGGGATGGGCGGGAGGCGCGGCAGGAGGAGCGCGAGGGTGAGCAGCTGGAGGACGAGCGCGGCAAGCAGCAGGCAGCGCCGCGAGGGGAGCGGCGCGCACACGAGCCGCGCGCAGAGCGACGGGCTGAGCGCCGTGCGACGGCTGTCCGAAACGCGCATGTCCGAGGCGGTGCTGCAACGCGCACGCCCTCGTGTGATGTGCACTGCGCGGCGCTGCCGCGTGCTGCTAAGAGCGCACTAGACTCCAGTCCAAGTTGCGCTGGGCTTCTCGAACTGCCTGCCTTGTCGACTCCTATGGGTCGTCGAACAAGCAAATTTGTGAGTGCTGGCGGGGTTGATTACTGAAGCTCGATCCCGCTATATAAAGATTTTGTTTTTGTTTAAGGACTTCTTAAATGGGACTATTTGCACATGAGTGTTTTGATAGTTTTGACATTAAAACAATTGCTTACCCTATTACTGCTAGCTTCTATAAAGAAAATTGGGGTTTACATCTTCGAATTGTAAGAAATTTCCCTTCTCCCTACTTCGCATCCCAACTTACCGTGTACATGAATATTCATGCCACGGTACGCCATAAGGTTTGCTCTGTAGGTCAGGCGGACGTTTAGCGTAGAATCAAAGTTGCATCGCACGCCATAGATCCGCCATATGCTCTATTGAAATAGTAGACATAGCTAGTGTTGGAATAACCGAAAGGTTATATAAGCATTCCCGAAGCTGTTTCACTGTACCAGTACCGCAATAGCTCATATAGAGCATGCGGAATGTCGAGGGTCACCCGAAGGTCAACCGTCGAGGACAGTCAACAGTCGTGACCCTTGACCACCCAAGTAACTGCGCGGCAGTTGTTTCGCTGCAACACGATAACTGTCGAGGATGGCAATAATCGCGATTACTGTTGTTATGTAATACAGTTAATTAGGAAATGTACCCCCCAGAGTACATGGCTAGTTAGTTTGCTATTTAATCTCTTGTACTCCTATCTTTTAATCATCTTGTTCTCTTTCAACTATTATTCAACAAGGTCACTACAGAGACTCTATTGTCGCCTCTCAGACTTAACAGATCTTATCCTATCTACTTGATCCTTTGATTATATCAGCATGGTATGAGAGCTAGAGTGGATTATAAGATCTGCCAAGTCCTCGTTCTTCCTAGAACAATCTTGTTATAAAGTCATTTATTACATCTCAAAGTCTGCAACACCATGGCTCATGAAGGGAAAGCTACTGCAGACTCACAGGGCCGACCACCAGCAACGACTAACGTGCCATCAGCGGTGACTTCCGTCAGCGCCGCTGTCGTTGAACAGCTAGTCACACGCATCAACGCCCTTGAAAGCCATCAAGCAATGACCATCGATGGCTCAAGTTATGCACGTGGCGTTGCTGGACTTCCTCTCCCTGGAGAAGACCGCCGCGTCAACTCCGAGAGATCTTTCACCTTTGACAATCGTCAAGGTTCAGCTCCTGCACCAGACATCGCCTCCATGCAACCTAAGTTTGTATTGACTTCAAAATTGAAGACCTCAATTCCTTTTGACGGCAAGGATTTCTACACGTGGAGCTTCGAATTCGAGATTTTCGCGACAACCGCTCAGATTTGGATGTACTACAACGGAAGCATACTCTTTCCTTCAGAAGGCACCATCTAAAAGAAGCACCAATACTACCACAAATCCCTCCTCGCATATACCGCCCTCCTTCGAAACCTCTCATCTGAAGAGCAGCTTGGCATTTGTCCCTATAAGACGGAGTGGGCTCCCCCGCACGCGTCCTGGGAACACCTGCGCAACTCATACATGGCAACAGATCCAGTTACTATGAGTCGTCGATTCAGCTAGTTGACTTCAGTTAAAATAAAGAAAGGGGAGAAAGCGGGACCGTATGTCAACCGGTGCCGCAATCTGCGCGATCAAGTCAAGAAATGTGGTGGGACTGTTCCCGACGACATGTTTATCTCGATGGTCATTTCTGGCCTCGGCCCCGACTGGCGGCAGTGTCAGTCACACCTTCGCGCCCGAGCAACCATATCGGAGTCGGCTCTGTGCGCCACGCTCCTTTCCGAGCAAAAGGAGATCGACCTGTACAACGAGAAGAATGTCAAACGGGAGAAATTAGTCTTGTACACAGGAGCATCACTGATGGAAAGCGTGCGAATCTGGAGAGCGTAACAAGAGATTAAGTCCGCTGAATTCGGCGAAACATTGCGTGCCGCTCACGTAACCTAGAACAATGAGCAGGTACGCGTTAGAAAGGTCTTAATCTCTAATTTCCAGAATGGTAAAGCACGCCTTCAACCAAGATCTAGGCCGATCGCTATCGCGATTTATGTGCGACACGGTATCCTGGCGAAATTACTTGGCAGCCATGGATTAGATCTAGGAATGGCATAAGCAAGAGTTCAGATCTGAAAAAGTGACGCGTTTGTCAAACCCTACCATCCCAACCCTCGCCCTACAACAATCCCCAACAACCCGAAATGTCAAACTAGCAGCACCAAAGGTGTTGTAGTCGATAACAAAGGTTTGTTGGTGGTTGTTGGGTGCGAGTTCAAATCCAGCCCGCAACAAGTCCAACCACCACATTTTGCCCAAACCCTTAGCCCACAACCAGCTAGAGCAAAATACCACAACCACCTACACAATCAACAATCACAAGGGGAGCAACGCGGAAAGAAGGGAGTTTTCTACAAATACTGCAAGAAGTCTAGCCACACTATCGACCAGTGCTACAAGCATCAGACTGCTGACGAACGGCGCAACGCCTCCAACCAGCAACCCTCGGCACAGACAAAGCCTTATGTCGCAACCTCCACTGTGTCGCCTCCTTCCGTCGCCAGCACTTCTCAATCTCCTACGCTCATCACGGCGAAAGACAAAGGAAAAGGGACAATCATAAGCTGCATGGCTCGCCGCAACTTAGGGTTCCGTTACTGGGATCGAGTAACATTCGTGTTTGACAATTCCATCAACCCTGTTGCACCCAGTACGGACAATGACTTAACAGTTTATACCTGGTCCGATCGTCCCTCAAACATTCCGCCTGACTTCGAGCTCCGTCCGCCTACTCCGGAATCGCCACCAAGCATCTCCGCAAATAGATACTTCGCCCTCTCCCCGTACACCGGCGATTTCGATTGCGTTGTCACGCCCAAGATCACCAACATCGCCCGCCAACGCCACGAGGATCTTAACACTTGGTACCTCGACAGTTGATGCGGGCAGCACATGGTGGGATCCTCCACCTTCATCAGTAACTCACGGCGAATGCGACGACCCTGCGAAATCACCGCCGCCAACAACGGGAAGATGAAGGCACATGGCATTGGCGAGATCTACCTCGAAGCCAATGATACGAAGTTTACCATTCACATCTAAGATGTCCTCGTCGCTCCTGAACTGCAATACAATCTGCTCTCCTCAGCCCAGCTCATGTGATGCGGAGTAGACATTCGCAGCAATCGCAAGGATAAAACCTTCGAATTATTCTACAGCGGAACTTACATCGGGAAGGCGATCGATGACGATGGAGTTTTCGTGCTGCAATTCTCGGCTCAGGGCACCACCTGCGACTCCCACCGCACGCTGCTGCTGAAAACAACTCCCACAAAGCCGCCAACATGGTCGCATCCTGATGAAATGGACCTCGAGCGGCCTGCCTCCGACGGCTTCCTACACCTGCGCACCGTTCCGACCGCCTCGACCTCCAATCCTGCAGAGACCGGACCTGTCAAAATGGAAGAAGACAGTGGCACGTCAGGACCTGCAGCGCAACCAACTGAGAAAAACAAGGCGGCGGAAACAGGCTGGACCGGTTGGAACACTTCCGAGCCCGCGCTCGGACCCTGAGGAGAAGTTCTAACTCTGGAAGAAGCGGCCGCAAGCGGGTGGGGCGTCGTTTCAACAGGAGAAGTTGGCGCAACCGGCTGGGTAACCCCTCCTGCACCAACAGGAGAAGCAGATCCAACAAGGGACACATGGGGCGCCGGCGGAGGATGGGGAACCTCGGCTGAAGCAGAGCAAGAGCACACCGAAGCAGCGGGACTTCCTCCTGCGAAAGTCGCTGCCGTCGACCCATACTGGGCAACTCGCGGCACCTGCTGGGGAGGTCCTCCTCTCCCAGATCAATACGCCCCTGCCACACCCGAGCCAATGCCAGAGGAGTCAGAAGAAGAGGAGACCTACGAATTCATGGGAGAACCAGCAGAATTACTTGAACCGACAGAGGAGCCACAGCCGCCAGAACAAGGACTACAAGAAATTGAGGTTATTGGCGCCGAATACAGTTACTTCAGAATCCCCATGACGGGACTCCCAGTTCGGGATTGGCCCAATCAGTGCCTGCTCGTTACCGTAGACCAAGTCGAAGCCGGCGACACCGACAACATCATCGGTATTCCTC